GGAACATGGCTGGTCGTTCCAAAGCATAATTCTAGGGAGAAAAAAAAAAGGTTGTGGTCGCCTTAGGAGCTCTGGGACAAGAACTGAAGAACGTTAAACTTTGAATAAAACAGAAAAATATCATAAAAAAAGAAAAAAAAACTGAGACAAAATTCAAATATGTGAGACTAACAATATATCTGGATGACGAGAGGTCCTGAGGTGGGGCGACACATGCACACGCAATCCTTCTATTTCTGGTTGCAATATATGCATTAACTGAAGAAGCTGGAAAGCAGCATCTCATGGAATTGGAGCCAACAGTATTAATGCCAAATCTGTTACTGTCGCTATTGGAGCTGCGCATACTCAAAGAGGCGTGCGGAAAAGAAACCACCAGCGCCACCATACTCTCTTTTACTGCACTGCACAAATACAAAAACATGAGTTGAATCAAATTTCTGGCAGGAGAAGGAAAAAAACAGTTTGTTAAATTTATAAATTCAAATTAGAGGAAAATGCTATATAAGATTGAATAAGGGAGTTCTAAAAATCAAGGGTAAATAATTTTTTCCAACCTGTACTATACGTGTTTTTGGGATTTTCAACCTAAAGTATATTTTGTTGTAAAATGCAACTTGAACTACATATATACAATTATTTGCACGCTCGACTACTTTTTGACCGTCCGATCATCCGCAAAAAAGGACACGTGTATGGTCAAGATGTGGTCGAGCGTGAAAATAGTGACTGTATATGTAGTTCAGGTTGCATTTTACAACAAAAAATATTTTAGGTTGAAAATCTCAAAATCACGTATAGTACAGGTTGGAAAAAATTATTTACCCAAAAATCAAAATAGATCAAGAAACAGTGAGCTGCTAAAATTATGAACACCATAACTTGTACTTTTTTCTTATCTTGTTTTTATATTTATTTCCCCCCAAAGATGAGACAAATGGCCTTGTTTGGTGATTAGTGTTTTGGGGCAAAATTAGAGGTTAAAGGGTGAATTAGAAGTTGACCCATCGGAACTGTAACATTACTATCTGTTAAGTATATGTCCACAAAGCTAATGTCGAAAAATCTCAAAATATGAGCTAAATTATTTACCAAACACTTGTGTATATCAGCTATTTCAATCAACTAATCAAAATAGCTAATTCAATCAACGATTCTACACCTAATTGAATCACTATCTGCTATCCACTAATTGTAAAACAGGGCAATTAGTGGGTGTAAAAATTGGTCTTCTACACTAATCAAAACCAAATAACTTGCATTCTCAAGTTTTCTTTCCAATGCCAATGATTAAGCTCAGACAAATTCATAAACAAAATTTGCAGATTACCCTAAACAGCAACAAAGTAGCTTTCACTGCAACTACAGGAAAATTCAAAACCCATCAACAAAATGAAAATAAATAAAATTACCAGTAATAATGGGTGTGATTGAAACGAGCTGTTGACAAAGACGACGCAGGCGTCTCCAAATTCGAAGTCGCCATTTTTCTGAGCATTTGATTTCCTTTATTGTTTATTCCACGTTGTATACTGCCAAGTGGCAATGTAAAGTGGGCTCTACTTTTCAAAATCATTTTCGGGCTTTACATTAACCCAATATATCAGAGCCTTGCAGAGGAAGCCCATTACACCTTTGGCAAAGATATAGCCCAAGAAGGCCGACAAAATCTCCTTTGTTTGGGTTGTTTTATTCCAGCATGTAATTATCTCTTGTTTATTCCATGTTACTGCCAATGTCAAATGGGCTCTAATTTTCGATATCAATTTTGGGTTAACAGAAGCCCAATATATCAGGGCCTTGCAAAGGAAGCCCATTATATCAGGGCCTTAAGATGTATCAGGACGTTACGAAAAGAGTCACACTTCAAGACCAGAACTTCAAGGCAAGCCCAATGGAGTCGCCTGTGGAACCCATCGGAGACCACCCCGGAGACGGCGGACCACGTGTGCCTTGGATGCGGTTGTGTGCCTCTGCCACGCCCCCTCCCCTCCAACTCCGCTACCCACGGCCACGAAAAATAATCCTCCTCCACCATCCGCACGAGCGCCGCCGCAAGCTCGCCGCCGTCCCCATCCTCTCCAAATGTCTAAGGCACTGCAAAACGTCAATCGAATCTTATCAATTTTACAGCTAAGATCATATGACAAAAATCCTAGCTTTAATTTTATTATCTACAGTTTGTTAGAAGAAGGAAAAATGATATATGATTTGAAAGGAATACCTTCGTTTTGTGGAATTTGACATCAATGGGCAATATATAATCATATTTTAACGATTTTATTTGAACGAATTGGCATCTATATTGTATATATAAAATAAAAAATAATTTCATCAAAATTTATAAATAATGTCAATTTTATTATCCACTCAATTTAAAAAAGATCTTATAACAATATAAATTATTTTATAAAATTAATAAAAATATGATTCATTAATATACCATAAAATAATCATTTTATTGGTTTTTCCCATTAATTTTGGATAAAATTACATAAAAAAAAAATTAAGAAATATTATAAAATATTATTTTTCAATTTAAATAGATTATATACAAAATTGAATGTTATTATGTTATTTAAAATAGTAAATATAAAAAAAATATCATAATTAAATATAATAAAACTATTTTGTATTCCATAAAGTTAGAAAATAATACATTCTACGTAAAATCTAAATTATTAATTATATAAATTTAAAATACTTTAAAAATTAATAAACGTGAGACACTGACTCTATAAATATGAATATAGTCACAATACAATAAATTTGTTTTGTTTAAAAAAAAAAGAGAATCAAATATATGAAGTTGTAAATAATATTATGTTTTATACATAGATAATTTTAAAAATATAATTATAAATATATTTTTGGCAAAATTCAATGTAAAAATACGGACACTATTTAGTTATCACTTTGTTAGTTATTTATTATTGTTGCATATTCATCATACATAATTTAAAAATAAAAATTTAAATTATTTTAATTTTTATTGTATAGATATTAATATATTTAAATATCCATGTAGTACACTGGTATTGTATTAGTTTTGAAAATGAAAAAATTTGTACTGAGTGTGGACTTTAGATAAATTTCGTTTATTATATAGCATGGTCGCATTTACTCTGCAATAAAAATGTAGGAAATAGTTGTTGCCATTGTGTTAATAGAAATTGTTTTCGTTCTCCAAGAAAAATTACTCTTTTTATGATTTCACTTTTTCTCTTCAAAGTTTTCAAATTATTACTTAAAATAATTAATTATTAATTTTTTCAATAAAATTTAATATTATCTACATATATAACTATTACTTACACTACAAAATAAATCTAAGAAATTTTTTTCTTCTTCGGCGTTTTTTTTTTCTTTTAAACCTTCATAACTCCCAATTTAACGGTGTGATGTGTTCTGTTAATTCTAAGACTCATATTGATAGTTTTACAATATTTAGGCCCCAAATTGAGAAAAAAGATTTTTCAAACCCCGATTTGATAGTTTGTCTATCTTTCGGGTCTTGTATTGAAAAAATTCTAATAATTAATTATTAATTTTTTCAATAAAATCTAATATTATCTACATATAATTATAACTATTACTTACACTACAAAAAAATTGTTATTTTTCAATAAAATCTAATATTATCTACATATAATTATAACTATTACTTACACTACAAAAAAATTGTTATATTTCAATGGAAAATCCTATGGTAATGTATTCCAATGAAAATTCCAACGGATATTCCAATGGTATAGCTTCCATTTGAATGGTTCCAACGGAAATATTCCATTAGAATGTGTTTTTCATTGGAAGTTCAGATGGATCCAACGGCTATATTTCCAACGGCTTTTTATCGTATGAATTTCCGTTGGAATATGAAATTTTCGTTGAAATTTTTATTTTTACTCCCGCTGGAAAATCAACTGTTGGAATTGTCAAAATCTAATGGAAATTGCAATGAAAAATCCATTCCAACGGAATATTTTTGGTGGAATTTCCGTTAAAATCTATTGAAAATTCCAACGGAAATAATAACATTGAAATATCAATTGGAATTTCCGTTGGAATAGTTCTATTGGAACATATTTTTGTTGGAATTTCATCTTTTTTTTTGTAGTGATATTAACATATCAGTCTTATCATTCACAATTAATTTTTTACCACATTATTTTTATATTATAAAAATTATAAAAACATTATTATAATTTATTTATGTTAATAATCACTCGTGCTCCTTTTATCTTATTTTATAACTTTAAAGCCATTGGTTTGCCTTTAGGTGTAAACAAGCCGAGTAAGTTTGAACTAAAACCTCCATTGGCTAGATTTGTTAATAAAATGAGTTGGAATTAAATTCGACTCGTTTATCAAATGAGCTCTGAAAAAATTAAATAACTATTTCGATTTCTAGTCTTATTAACTTGTTAGCTAGTAGAGTTCTAGCTCAACTAACTGAGTCGAGTTCAAATCGAGTTAAGTTCACAAACAATTTGTTTCGTTTAATAATTGTATGTTTTGTTAGTTTTATTTCCTGCAACACCATTGTTGGAATATCACTTGTGAGTTGTCCCACATTGATTTGATAGGATAAATGAGCCTAGTTTATAAGCTTAGTGGGTTACTCCTCCCATCACCAATTGATTTTGGGATGGAACCTCATTTGGGCTAACCCTCTTATGGTGCGCTTCATCTATGTGGGAGCGCACTCGTTTTGCCCCTGTTTGACATGGTATCAGAGCGGGCCTAATTTGGGACCTGCGATCCCGACTTGGTTGTAGGCGTGGGCTGAAAAAATGTACCTGGCCTAGTTGGGGGCGGGGGCAGATGAAGGACTCACAAGTGAAGGAGCGTGTTGGAATATCACTTGTGAGTTGTCCCACATTGATTTGATAGGGTACTCCACTTTATTTTGGAATAAAGTGGGCTACTCCTCCCATCACCAATTTATTTTGGAATGGAACCCCACTTGAGTTTTATGTGGGCTAACCCTCTTAGGGCACCATTTAACACGTATGTGGCACAACCATTATTTAGTGAGCCCAATTGAGCGTTTGTTGTTTTTTGGTTTTAAATTAATTATTTATTCAATCTTTTTTTATTTAATTTATTTTTTATCTATATCACACTTCTCATATGATAAATCCAAATTTTATCTATATTATAGTTCTCAATATGTATCAATCATTTAAATAAACTTAATTTTAATTTTTTTTTTCTGTTCTAATATTTTTCATCTGTAATCTTAATTTATTTTTTAAAATATAATAATATTTAGTGTATTTTTTATCCTTTAAAATTAAATATTCGAATTAAATAATAAATTTAATTTTATTAAGAATATAATAAAAAATAATATTGAATGAGTGGGTAATGGGTCTCATGTTTGTATTTAAATGAATGATGGAATGTGGGTGTATGTTTATATAGAGAGATAATTAGTGGAAAGATGATGTGAATGAGAGAGTGTGTATAGTGTGATTGAATGAATAGTATAGGCTGTGAATGTCCTTATAGTGCGCTTTACCTGTATGGGACTGCACTCGTTCTGTCCCCGTTTGACAACCAGGTAGATCTAAGTGATATTTGGCCAAAGTATGTCCATTTACTTTATTATATATCATTATATGCATAATCCAACTTTTTATAAGATATTGAATTAATTATTTTATCACTAATCTACTATTGATAAGGACAAAAATTAAGGGGGTGATTGGATATGAATTCAACTAGTAAAAATCTAGTTTTTTTTAACTATAGTTAAGTTTGAAAAAAAGTGGTATGATTAGTTGTTAGTGGATATATTAAAATAGTATTTAAAATAAAATAGTTAAAGTTGATTTGATGTAAAAGTAAGAAAAAATGATTGGAAGTGATAGTTAATTAAGATTATGTGAGTGGATGAATAGTAAATTAAAGTTGATGTGATGTGTGAAAATGATTGGTTGATATTATTTTATTATATTAATAATATTGAAAATAATGGAGTTGAGTTAAAGTTGTGTTAAATTTGAGTTTGAATTAGTTTTTTTACTGTACAATGCATAAACAATCACCCCCTAATGTCCCAACCATCACCATAGCATCTTGAATATTCGCATTATTAATTAAAGATACATGAAACGTACACATTGTGGATGTATCTTGACTTAAGGTCTTCAAAGTACAAACATAGCGCTAATTAATCTCCCCAATTATTAAGATTGCTTGATTTATTGCCCTTGTTGTATTGCAATTAGATTTATCATTGTGGGGGCTTGCATTTTTTGGCCCTTTTGTTAAGGGTTATTTTTAATTGAGAAAAATCTCTGTCCACACCAAACATTATCATTTCACGTCATTAAGGGTGATTTGATTAATATATAGTTGAGTTAAACAAAAAAAA